TTAAATAAAAAAATGGAGTTTATGAGAGTGTAATGGTTTCCAAGGCATGTGTATAAAAAGCTGGTTTTGAAAGGATATGGCTCAGTTAGTAGAGTGCTTGCCTGGCATACATGGAGATCTGGGTATAGTCCCCAAGACTACAAAAAAACAAACAAACAAATGAACAACAACAACAACAAAAAAACAAACCAAGTATGGTAGGTGCATTCTAGCACTTGAGAGGTGGAGACAGGAGGAGCAGAAGGTCAAGGCTAAAGAGATGGCTTGCGGATTAAGAACACTACTCTTCCAGAGTACCCTGGTTAGATTCCCATTATCTGCAGGGTACTCGCAACCATCTAGAACTCAAGCTCGAGGAGATTGGAAACCCTTTTCTGGCCCCTCAGCATATCAGGTACTCACGTGATGTACAGGAATACAGGCAGGCAAAACACCTACACATATTAAAAATAAACTTTTAAGAGTTTAAGGTCAGGACAGCCAGGCTAACAGAGAAACCCTGTCTTGGGGGCTGGGGGGAGAGTTTAAGGTCATTCCCAGTTACATAGAGTTTGAGGCCAGCCTAGAGTGTATGAGACCCTATCTTTAAGTATTACATTTGGGAAGGGGAGAATCAATTTCTGTAATGCACAGTACAGAGAATAATTCTTTCACAGGTGAAAGCAATGATAATTAAGGCTCCACCTTCCTAGGGGATGGTCACATTTCTCATGTTCTCAGACAGCTGTGTTAAGCTCAGTGCATATGCTCAGAGGCAAGCATGTCTTTGTACATACTATTTTCTTTTGTTTTTGAGATAGAGTCTCATGGTATAGTCCTAGTCCAGGCTGGCCTGGAATTCACTAGTGTAAAATAGGCTAGCCTTGAACCCATGATCCTCCTTCCTCATCTCTCAAGTGCTAGGATTACTGGGTAAACCACTATGGAGAGCTTTGTACATTTTTTGTTTTGTTTCCTTAGGTGTTGCCTCTTATTTAACATGTTTTAGGTCCCTCTCGAACATGCAATGGTGAAGATTAATTTGGTTTCTATCCTAATGGAAATTACAGTGTAATAGAGTGGGGAAACATATATTCAATAAAACCCAAGAAATGCCATGGTTTTAACTAGGGAAAGAAAGTGTTTGGAGGGAGAAGCACAGGAGAGGAGGGTGCCCAATCTAAGGTTCAGTACAGTCTCCATACAAGAAAATGGCAGCTGAGACATCAAGAATTAATGATTAATAAGGAGTAGGAGAATGACTCAGCAGTTAAAAGCACTGGCTGCTTTGCAGAGGACCTGGGTTTGGTTCCCAGCACCCTCATGGTGCCTCCAAACCATCTGTAACTGTAGTTCCAAGGGATCTGATGCAATATTCTGGCCTCTGTGGGCACCAAGACACACATATGGCACACACACACACACACACACACACGCACACACGCACACACCGCGCGCGTGCGTGTGCGCGTGCAGGAAAAACACTCATACAAATAAATAAATCTAAATTTTAAGAAAAGAATTAACTATGATTGGAGAAAGAAATGCTTATAGGTTACAGGGACACTTATGTCCTTAGCACCTGTGGCAAGGAGGAATAATCAGGAAACCCAAAGGAACTCTTGTGATTACAGAGGTTATTAAGCAAGGAGTGGCTGCAGCTGTTTTAGGGAAGAAATGAGCAGAGACTTTGTAGTTCACAGTGATGTTTTTATACTTTATCCAGAAGGCAATGGAAGGTCATTGAGAGCTTTGAAGTCAGGAATGTAGGGTGTGGTTACATATTCAGATTAATGTTGGAAAATCACTACTTTAGCTTTCTCTCTCTCTCAAGCGTTGTTGAATTCTAGGTAGAAATCAGTGAGAAAAGCATTTATATAGCTACTCACACTGTAAGTCAAGAAATGAGATGGTGGTTTAGATTAAGGTGTTAGGAGTAGTGATGGACAGGATTTACAGTAAAATTGTATTTTGAAGCTTGAATTGGTAGAATTTAGTGAGAAATTGATTTGAAGAGGTGGGGGAGATGGAGTTGGGGGTAGAGACTGAATATGAAGGCTAAATACTAAATTTCTGGATTGAATTGGGTGTGTATAAAAGGCCTTTGTTTTTTGCTTGTGTATGTAATGTGTGGTGTGTGTGCCCACATGTGTGTGGTTGTATGTGTACAAGTGTGCAGGTTTATGGAAGTCAGGTTGTTGTTAACTTCTCCCGTGGTTATTCTTCACCTTGAACTTTCCATACTTAGGTAGGACCTCTCACTTGAGCCCAGAGCTTCCTGATTATGCTAGTCTGGCTGACCAGCTTACTCTAGGGGTCCTCCGTCTCTGCCTCCTAAGTGCGAGGATTGCAGGTGTCCACCGTGTCCACCAGGCCTTTAGAAGGGTGCTGGAGCTCTGACCTTGATTACCATATTTGTGTGGCATGAATTTGACCCGCTGAGCCATCTTCCAGATGGCCCATGTATTAACATTTAAGGAATGCTGGAGAGGAGCAGATTTAAGTGGAAGATCAGGAGTTTATGTGAAGATTTTGGGTTATTTCCCTCAAGCTCCCACTCCACAAAATTCTGCTGAAAATTGCCCTCTTGCCAACCACAGGAGGGACACACTGTGTTCCTCCGCTTCTCCCATTACCGACTGTGTCATAGTCACAGTGTACTTGCCTGTCCTCATTGACAGGGATTCCTCTGTCAGAAGTACTTCTGCGCTTTTAGAAACAGGATAAATATTTCCTCCAGTATTTCCCACTGAGTGTTGTATGCTAAAGGCTTCTGTTATCTTAGTTATGGATGATGCTGGGAGTTAGTGTTTCTTTATTGCAGAACAGCATTTTGCTTTCTCATGAGGATAGGGCGGAGCATGACACATGCAGCTTTCCTCCTTTTTCAGTTCATTTATGTCTCTTTTGTCTTTTGCACATGTCACATTTATTGTGTTGGAATTAGGTGGGAATACACGTTCTACGGTAAATGCCGACTTGATCATGAGTCCGATACTGGCTTAGAGTGTGGACTGCATGCAGGTTATGTGGCTGCTGTCATAACATGTCTGTGGGGAGCTCGTTTTGCCTGCAGATCTGTTTGTTTTACTCCCAGTGATCAAAGCAAACATCAAGGGATGAGAGTTTACTGTCTATTGTTTGTTCCAACCAGGGTAGAGAGATAGGGGGCACAGAGAGACATCTGTGTCTTTGTAGCCACGCTGGGAAGAATGAGTGAAAACTCTGCTGTTTCACTGTCCCCACGTCAGTCCCTTTCTTACCTCCAGGCTTCAAAAGCCCCTTTCTCATACCACTGAGTTGCTCCTAGTATAACACGTGATCACCATTTCACTAAAGCTGTTTATATTGTTTTTGACTGTTGGCTGTTATGGCATAGAACCTGGGTTTTAGGGAAATGAAGACAATTGGATAGTACTTTTGTGTGCTTGTTTCCGTAAAGCATGTGGGTTTATCTTAGAGAAGACTTTTCTTCTTTCCTCCTTTCTTCTTCCTGCTGCTGTTTCTTCTCCTCACTTTTCCTCCCTCCTTTTTTTCTGCTCTCTTCCCTCCTCCTTCCCCCTCCTCTTCCTTATCTATTCTCTCTTCCCCTGCTTCCTTCCCACCTTTCTCTCAAACTGGAGTGCTCAAGACAGTAGAAACTAGTGGCAAGTTTTACCAGGAACTCACAGACTCGGAACAAGAAAAATTATTTTTTAGTTTGGACTTTATTTTGAAATGCCAAATTGAAAATAATTGCTAGTCATGGTGGCTTACACCTTTAATCAAGCATTTGGAAGGCAGAAGCAGTCAGATCTTTGAATTTGAAGCCAGTGTGGTTACATATTGAGTTCCAGGATAGCCAGGGCTACACAGAAAAACCTTGTCTCAAAAAACCAAAAAGAAAATAATTCTATAGTGATTGTGTTGTTGCTATTGGTTTATTTGTTTGTATGTTTGCTTGCTTGCTTGTTTATTTTTCTGAGAGACTTATTGCCCTGGCTCCAGTAGACCAGGCTGGCCTTGAACTCCCAGAGATCCTCCTGCTTCTGACTTCCTCAGTGCTGTGATAAAATCCATATGTCAGCATGCTCAGCTTTTTTTTTTTTTGGTGAGCGATTTAAAATGCAGGCTAGAGTAGTTGTGTTAATATGTCAAAGCCCCACTCACACTATGTAACTACATCTTGATTTCCTGTTTCATTTATATACCCCGCCCAGTGTACTTGTGCATGTGCTTATTTTCAAACTGGAGTACCTTTGCATGCTAGGAAAACTATCATTGTCTGTTAGAAGAAATAGAATTAGCTTCTGTCATCACGGCCGCCCTTTACAACCAAATCCCTGAGTTACCACCAACAGCAGATCAAGATCTGTGAAGTAGTGTGTATATTGCTTGTCCTTTGTACTTTCAAAAATGATTGAAGAAAAGAAAAAATAACTTATGGGTATATTCTTTAATAGCATGATAAAAGAGAATTTCATATATGTATAAAATTATTTTGATCGTATCCCTCCCTCTTCTCCTCTGGGCCTCTCAACACACACCCCTCACAACTTCATGTAGGCTTTATTCCCTAGTAACTCAAGAGACCAACTAGTGCCGCCCACACTCATTTGGGTGCGGGTCCCTTCGCCTACCAGTGGACATATCCCTCAAAGAAAAATAATTCTCCCTCCCCATGCAGCTGTCACCTGCCAGCAGCTCGTCAGCTAGAAGGGAGGCCTCATGGGAATGCCTCTTCATCAGAGGGCATATACCTAGTAGCTGTGATGGGATTGTCTGAGTATGATGCAGTGACCTTTTTTTATCAAGGGAAACAAGCAGTTTTGACATTTTGTCCATAGGTATTATTTCAGTCATTTCAATGTTGTGTGTAAACGTGGCTGTACTTGGTGATCTTCAGTTAAGTTTTCTGTTGGAAAAGCCAAGCTTCAAGATACATTGTGTTTTGTATGCTTTGCTTGGCGCAATGAACTTCTATTATAGCATTATTCTCTCAGAAAACCGTTCTGACTATAGAAACTGCTGCTTTGTTTCAGGTCGGTCTTCTCTCTTTCCCTTTGAAGACGCCTTCTTGGATGACAGCCATGGTGATCAGGCCTTGTCATCTGGCTTAAGTTCTCCCACTCGATGTCAAAATGGGGAACGAGTAGAACGCTACTCTAGGAAGGTGTTTGTTGGAGGCCTTCCTCCTGACATCGATGAAGGTACCATGCACATTCATTAACAACCTCACAAGAGCTGAGCTTCTGTGTGTGGTGTCATCAGACTCTGACTCTCCTCCAAGCCAGCATCAGTAAACACATGTTGGAAGTGTAGATGTACCTGTGACAAAGCTAACTTTAAGAAAGAAGCTGCTGTAGTTTTCACAGGCTTTGAATGTGCTACAGAAACCTTCCTACCACTGACTCGCTTGGTCAGTGCAGCTCGGATACTAATACAATAAATAGGTCATGGTTTCTCTAGCCTTTTCTTTGTGGGGGATGGGGGCATTGCTAAAAATATTTTTAGAATTAGTACATTAAGGTTGTAGGTAGTCAGAGCCTCATTTCCCTCTAACTGTCCTCATCTGTGTTAATATTATCTGTCAGTTAGATCTTCTTTATGATAAATTTCTTTTTTTATTAATTCTTATTTTTTTATATATGATAAATTTCTTAATGGCTGAGGGAATGACAACCTACACAATCTTCTAAAGGCCATAGTCTTTTCCTTCCAGTCAGAAGGATATAGAGTAACTGAGCTGTAGCCTTTGTGTATATCTCAGTAAAAAAGGGTATTATGGGCTGGAGAGATGGCTTAGAGATTAAGAGCACTGGTTGTTCTTTCAGAGGTCCTGAGTTCAATTCCCAGCAACCACATGGTGGCTCATAACCATTGATAAAGAGGGTATTATGGAGACAGAGAGAGACAATTGCCTTAACTCTGTCACACCACCAAATGGAGCCATCTACTGTCTTTGTTCCTTATCAATAGAATCATTTTGTCTAAAATAATCCTAGAGATCCCATAGAAGTGAATTCTAAACAAATTAGATTTTATATGCATACACACACACACACACATACACACACACACACACACACATATATATATATATGCTTTTTAATTTACATTTATTTATTTATTTATTTATTTATTTATTTATTTATTTATTTATT